CAACAGTGAGCACCATCGAGTTCCACTCACCTAGTTCGAAAAGAATTACTTTAAATACATGGGATGTATCGGTCGCGTCCTTAACTTTTTCCCCCTATAGAGTTCAAATTGTTACAAGCAACCATACCTTATTGTTAGTTTCCTTGTTTTAATTAAATATAGCGAAATAGTTAAGAATCAACTTCTAATAGTTACATTCATACAATTACACGTATATTGAATTGTTTATATGTTTGTGAACAGGGTGATTCTGGCGGTCCCTTGGTTGCTGATAACGAACAGATCGGTGTAGTATCCTGGGGCATACCGTGTGCAAGAGGTCGACCGGATGTCTTTACTCGCGTCTACAGTTATATTGATTGGATCAAAGATCATACAGAAAATAAAAGCAGATAAGGAGATGATTGACTTACAATTATACGAATATTACATAGCGGATTGTATGTAGTGTATACTATTATGTTCTGTGATTTATTGAAGAATACAATATAAAATAAATCATTAATTAATAGAATGTTACTTGATTTTTTTAACGCTTGTGAGAGAAAGAATTATTAAAATAAGAAACAATTATTTAACAGTAAAACTACCGACGACTAAAATAATAAAAAAAAAATTATATCAGAGAAATTAGAGTGTAAGGAATAGGAAAAAGTTTATAATGTAATATGGAATACAAACTTTTATTCATATATTTTACAAAAATCATTCAAATTTTTAAAAACATAACGTTGTAAATCTGCAAAACTACTCTAAAAAAAAAAAAAAAAAATTATAAATTAGTTACTGCGATAATTCTAGTATTAAGAATCGACGAGAGACTAAACAAACGTGCTCCAATTTAATAACTGAAGAAATCGCATTGTTGCGTTGGTCAAAGTATCAATTTACAGAGCTGTTTCCCTTTCCATTTCGTTTTTGATTTATTACTCGTATTCTCTGTATGTTTTCCGAATTGCATAATAGTTGTAATTTATGTTAAGTTATACATGCTGCAGCGCATTATACATCCTACGCTTATGCAAATGCACTTTAAGGTGACACTAATTTTACGTCTCGTATACACGAATTAGTGCCACACGTATTTAATGCGTTGAATTAAATAGAACATTTAGGCAGCGTGTAACATTTATGTGAGAAAATATATGATTTGTTATTTAAAAAGTTAGAATGCACAGCCAATGCACAAGTATTGGATAATATAATTATATATTTATTCATTTAAAATTTTGATTTGAAGTTGATTTGAACATGCTTTTGTTTCATATTTGATTATCCTGCTTTTTACTATTACATGTATAATTTTTCATTAAAAAGTCATGCATTTGCTAAATTTTAACAAACAAAGGTAAAAATTTTAAACTTACGCATATTTCGTTCTTGCAAATGAAGCAACAAAACTTTATTAAGATTATTAGTATTATTTCTGCGTCAAAATCGGTGATCGTAGAGAACAGAAGAATGATAGATATCCTTGATATAGAAGTACAGTAAAAAATCTTCAATCTCAATTTCGGTCAAGCCTCGAATGACCTGAATTCAATGGCGCATGCCCGAATTATGCATGTGCATTGAAAATCGTTTCAGGAGTAAGAAGGATACCGCACATAGTAACACACATCCTCGAATGTAAATTTTGGGTATACACAGGATCTCGAGATTATTACGCCTCTCGTTCATAATGCCAACATGTAAAATGTTGTTTTGTTACGATTATTCGACAGTAGTTAGAAGCAGGATTAATCGGAAATTTCCTTGCGATTGAAGTTCAACAGAGATTATAATACCTTTGTAAACCCCTCTGGCTACACCACTGGTAGTACTTATTCAAAGATTGCCAACATCGAGGCCAAGGATGCGCACTGCTACCCCGACCTCACCAATGTTTACAAAGCACGTGTATTCTACAACAGATAGCTAATAGCCGAGACGCGTCAGATCTCAAACTAAGTATATCACGTGAACGTAATAATTTTTTCTCGAAAATTCAATGAAAAACAATGACAATCCAATGGAGGAAGAAAGAAAAACCCCTGTTGTAACGTGTGTAACTAGCGCTTATCTGTCATGATACGTGTGACCTAAATAGCGTTGCGCACGCGCAATCCGGCAAGGACAGTTTCGAGGGTGTGCTTTCATCCCCTGTTTTCTTGTGTTTTGGGAATTTCTCAGTGTCGTGCCTGTCCGTGTCATTTCGCGAGAAAAAACAACGTGCTCCGTGAAAGACGAGGACCGGTGGCCATGCCACCTGCTGGAGCTTAACGTACATTGTCTGAAATCGATATCGCCATCCTTGTCTTTCGTCTTACGACCGTCATTCTAGTAGTAGTTTGCAGAGGAGAAATATGACCGCGATGGAAACTGTACACGGGGGATTGTGTTAAGAGTTGTAAAACTCTTCGGTGTTTTTAGTGCAGAGAAATAATGAACGTTGACTTTTCGTCGTTGTTAAATCGCCGTTACATCTTGAAACTACTACGGTCACTGTGAATCGGTTCGGGCGCTATTAACAATTTAATAATTCAATTGCAAAGAAATCGCCAATATTCGTTGAACGTAAAATTGGCAAGGGTTAATCCACTGATAAATATACCGTCTATCAGCCAAGGAGCGATAGGATACGGTTTCGCTTGGTGACATGTATCGGGGATGCACTTACGTTCATCAATTTCATTGTTTACATTTGCAAAGTGTGACACCGAGTATTAAATAAAGTCTGCAAACGCATGTGTTTATGTCAATGTAGACGCCTTCAATTCCTGACGTTGTACAACTCTCTTGGAATTAAAAAAGAAATCGCATCGATGTTTTACTATGTCTCGGCATCTTTCACTCGCGATAAAAAATCAAATGCCGAGCATTTGAACACAGTTCGCTGAAAAATGCTGTTGTAAACAGTCGTACAATATCGAAGATCCTGCCACTCTTGAATCGCCGTATCATGGTGCTTTGTTAGTGCATATCACGCCTGTGTAAGATCCTTAGGACGCCATAAATAATATATCGCGCCAATACATTGCTTGTATAAAAATAACTTATCATCTGAGTTTATCAAAGGAAGCTTCATGAGCTGCTGTCCATTCATGTAAGTACGTGACGAGCTTCCCTAAGAATTATATGCATTTACGATATAAAACTTTGTAGAACTTATGCATTATAATATATGACTAGTATTTTAGGGGTTGACAAAAAATGGTGTCAAAGATACGATGTATTTTGACGGTACCATCAACCTTTGCTTTCGAATAAATTGCTTTCCTAAAATATAAAATTGAAAAAAGAAAGAACATAAAATTTCCAAAAAGAGATTTGTATAAATATTCCTTTCTACAACTTGCTTTCATTAATCCTTTCGTAAAAATCGATAGACAGATATAAATTGAAACTGAACGATGAAGTTTAACTACCTGTTCTATTTTTTTCAATACTGCAAGTTTCCAGTAGATGTAGACGTAATTATCGCGTGTGAGTTATCTGCAGTTATCGTGTGAAAACTTAAAAAAAAAAAAAAAAAAAAAA